CAATGGTGCACATTTAGCTCCCCGGCAACACGAGAATCACCCCCACCACTCTCGCTGTCTCGCTCGCTCTCACGCAGCGGCTGCGCGAGAGGGAGCGAGACAGCGAGAGTGGTGGGGATGATTCTCGTGTTGCCTGGGAGCCAGATGTGCATCACTGTTTGTAACCCCTGCCGGTCGTCACAAAATGGCATTTATCATGGAAGAAACCCAGTTGTGGGATTTTCTAAACGGCTTATCGACAATTGTCGCTATCGTTAACTAGCGACAGCCAATTCCGCGCTTCCTTTCAGGATTGTCCTGTCATTGGCTGTCGCTAGTTACCGATAGCGACAATCATCGATAAGATGTTTAGAGAATCCCGCTACAGGGCTGAGTTCGAAAACATCACCCGGGTGTCTCCGTGTATCATCTTATCCTTGTTTAACACTTAGTGAACAACAAAGATAATACGATACGCAAGGGCACTCGGGTGATGTTTCCGAACGCAGCCCAGGTATGCTTACACCATTGCGCATACACATTTCTAATTAGCCAATGGGTGCATTCAGTACTATAACCGCTCACTGAGCGCTCAGTGAGATCTCGTATCTATTTGGTCTATATTTTTAGATCTAACGGAATATGCCAATCAAATGCAAGAGTTCACTGAGCGCTTAGTGAGCGGTTGTAGTACTGAATGCACTCAATGAGAATTGATTAGTTCACTTTTATTTTCAAATAATTTCCCCAGAGAGACATTTCCTCTCTGGAGTAATACAAAAATAAGTGACTATGCCGCGCGCCATTAAAATATATTTATTGAGGGGGACAAGGCCCCCCCCCCCCCAGCATGGGCAATTAAAACTAGAAGACTGAGGGGCAAGCCCCCCAGTCTACGCATCGTTATCACAATATTTTTCATCCCCCCAGCACGCAAGCTGGGGGGATTCGTTATCACAGATTATTGCTCCCCCGGATTATCACAGGAGTGTCGTCAAAATATAAAAGTCCCGGAGGAGCGCGCGCAGTAATATGTATAATGATAATGACAATAAAATTAATTAGTGTAAATAGCGCACACTAACACTCGGATAAAATACAAAATTGCGATACACGGCATACACACTCAGACAGTCAGGACCCCACAAACAGATAGAATAAATAATAAAATATATAAGAGGCTAAAAGATAAAAAGAAGAAGAGTACAATAGTACTTGGAAGAAGAAAGAAAAAAAGAGAAAGAAAATAGAAGAAAGAAAATAAAAGAAAAGTAAGGTAGAAAGAGTCAAAATAAAATAGCATAGCTATAAAACAATAAAAAATACAATAGTATATAAAATAAATAGATAAATAATTAAAATCAGCAGAGAGGCGTCCCGTCCAATAGTCAAGTAAGTATATATTAAAATTAAAAGTGTACATACAATATAGTAGGCGAATAGCGCCAATATCACAGGTATAGTTAAATAAATAATTGGACATTGGGACACTCTCTCTACTAGATTGAAAAGGGGAGGCCAAGACAAAGACAAAATAATTTACGCGAAACTCACAACGTTCGAGACGCGACGCGCCGCATCTGCGCTGACCTTTCCTCGGCGAGCCAGCGTCTAGAACCGCTCTTGGCGGCATCAAGAGATGATCCCCAGAGGGACGGGAAGGAGCAAGGTACTGGTGGGTGCCCCACGTATATGTCTCGTGATCAGCGAACGGTATCCGAGACGATGAGACGACGCATCATTGAAGCGTATTGGGCCGTGACCCTCAGCAGTCTCAACACCGCCTCATTTCTCGGATCCCACGAGCCGAGGCCGCCGACGACGAAGGCCGTCACGACGACACGGTACCCTTGTTGCTGTAACTCTTCGGCCAGGGCGTTGTATTTTTCAAGTTTCCTCGCCCTGGCCTCTTCAAAGGAAATCCACCTATTTTCAAAGGGCACCGTGACATCCCTTTTATATGACGATACTTTTGGAGGGCTCGTGCCTGACCACAAGGTCAGGTCGTAGCGCCGCCAAATCGCCGCTGACGCCCTCCACCCGCTGGTTAACCCGCACCACCCCTGGAAGACGAGTGGCCTTCCAGAGACGGTGCAGGACAGCGTTGTGCCTCAGCTGTATTGCGGCAGAATGGATACCGCAGTAACAGAGCACATGAGGTAGAGTCTCTGATGCTTCACCGCATCGCCGACAGCGCTTATCATTTGTCTCCCAACGTCGTGCGCCGTTGAGAGGGAGTACGTCTAAACGGGCCTTATGAATAAAGCGCCAATCGGCGAAGCGAGTGAAACTGCCGCCACGGATAAAGTGATTGCTCACCCGACTCCGTGACGACACCTCAAAGACCTTACCCTGGTCAGGCTTGCTGAGCAACCTATTCGAATAGTGCTCTGATACAGCTGAGCGCAACCGATTCACTACCTGGCCGCGCGCTCCAGGCGGAATCTGTAGTACTGAGGCGGAAATTTGTAGTACTGAATGCACCCAATGAGAATTGATTAGCTCACTTTTATTTTTCAAATAATTTCCCCAGAGAGACAATACCTCTCTGGGGTAATACAAAACAAGCGGCTAGACCGCGCGCAATAAAATAAATATATTTATTGCGGGGGACAAGGCCCCCCCCCGCATGGGTAATTAAAACTAGAAGAGGCAAGCCCCCCAGCCTACGCAATTTTATCACATATATATTTCTTCCCCCCAGCACGCAAGCTGGGGGGATTCGTTATCACAGTATTTTGCTCCTCCGGGATATCACAGAGGTGTCGTCAGAATATAAAAGTCCCGGAGGAGCGCGCAGTAGGTATACTAGGCGGGTTCTAACCCATGGGGCTAGAGGGGAGCGCGGGGTGCGGGGGATACTCGTAGGCGAGCGGAAGCGTAGCGCGGGGATTCTTCGGTGGTGGGGGTATGACGTCATGCGGAATGGCAGTAAGATTTTGGGGACTGCAGTCACGTACAAGACAAAAAAAAAAAACATCACAAAAAAGGAAATATTGCCATGAACAAAAACAAACAGTTATAGAACGAAAAGTGTTACAAAGGGTATATGCTCCAACCGTTTTTCGACCAAGATATAGTGTAATGTAATTTTTATAGAAACAACGTTTATTAATTATTTTAAATACCTAAATACAACCAAGTTTCGTAATTATTGAGAGTAGATATAGTAGGCGAGTTCTAACCCCTGGGGCTCTAGTGTGGCGCGGAGGATACTCGTTGGCGAGGAAAAGCGGAGCGCGGGGATACTTGTAGGCGAGGGGAGCGCGGAGAGTACTCGTAGGCGAGGGGGCGCCCAAAAAAATTATAATGAATTATATAAAATAAGACTTACCTCCTCGTCGTCTTCCTGCTTCTCAGCCT